GACAGCTCCCCGCGCGGTGCGAGTCGCGTGGCCCGCGGGCGTCGTCAGCTCCCCGGGCCGCGGCCGGCCGCGTGCGTCGGAGACTCGGAAGGTGGCCGAGGTCTGCGGACTTTGCCAGTTGTGAAAACTCGGAGAAGTCACTGCGTAGGGGAGTCGGTGACAGTCGCTGCGGTGCGTTCTCGGGCTCAGGGAGGCGGGGGCGGCCCTAGGGATCTGTCCCCCGCGCCCCTGCTCCCGGCAGCGGGCAAGCCGGGCCCCTTGTCCCGAGGTGTGCAGGGCCCGGGAGTGAGCTTGTGGGGGGCGCGGGAGCCCCCCGGCCGCCCCTGCCTTCCCCTGGCCTCTGCGCTGCACCCCCAGCCGGCCTGCGGAGAAAGCTGAGCGCGCTTGCAGGGGCCTTAAGGCTCCTCTTAAGTGGCCAAGCTGCTCGGGGCGCAGACGCCGACGCGGTGTCCTCCTCTCAGGCCTGCTGTCGGCCGTGAGGGCTCCGCAGGCCGCCTCGAGCTTCGAGGGACCCGCGTGGCTCCGGGTGGCCCTCTGGGGACCGCTCTCAGGCCACCGGCAGAGAGCAGCGCCAAGCATCCGGCACTGCAGGCCCCCGCCGCCTGGCCTCACGCTGCCCCGCCAGGTGCGCTTTCGCGTAAGGCCAGCTCGGTTCTGGCCGTCAGGGTGAAGCCTGGTCCTGTCTCTGCTCGGGTGTGCCCTGTTGCTGGTGACCAGGCCGGAGGACTCCAGATGCCGGCCAGACCCCACCTCCGTGCCCCTGCAGCTGTGGAGATCCTCTGGGCCTAGGGACCCTGCAGCGTCAGGAAGTCCCGGTGTCCCAGCCTGAGGACAGGCAGAACCATCGCCTATAATTAGCAGCAATGAGGCCCATAACAGTAATTACTAATTACCAGCTCCGAAATTACCAGCTTCATTTCTCTACCCTGAGTCAGGTCTTCCTGTTCATGCCCCTCCCCCTTGGCCCTGCCAGGCTGGACCCGCCCCTGCCAGGGCCAGGCCCGCTGCCGGCTCTGACACAGATTCAGGGTGGCGAAAGCGGCACTGGGCCTGCGCCAGCCCTGGGGTATCCCTGACTGCCGCTTCTTGCTCGTCCCCAACCTGCTTCCTCTCCGCTACACCCCCACAAACCCCAGCACGGAGGGTGAGATGGGGCTGCCCTCCACGTCCTGCTAAGCAAACACCTGTGTTGTATTTCAAGGTGACAGGTAGATACAGGCCAGATGAGCCCTTTAGGGTGGCCCGCAGGTGGACTATTCCTCCTAGGCACGTGAGTGTCAGACTGAGCTGCACAGGTTGATTGCCTCCTCCCGCCCCCTCTCCAGGGCTGCCCCCGTGCCCTGTAAGCCCCTCTGGGCACTGCTTGGTTTCCAAGCAATGGGCGTGAGCAAGGCTGCTGGCCTCTCCCGGGGAGCCTGGGAGCATGCAGAGGGCCGCAGACTGGGGCTCATTCTCTAAGACCAGAGGCTGGGGCTCTACACCAGGCACAGGCCTCCCACCCCGACATATAGGGGCGTAGGAGCAGAGAGAGAGCATTACCTCCAAATCCTCCACTGGGAGGGGGAAGGGAGGGTGGCCGCGCAGGACCACCAACTGGGCTCCGCGGCCCTAGCGTTTCCCAGCAGCCCCTGGCACCGAGCAGCCCGTGGTTAAGCGGGCCCAGATCCCCAAGGCTCCTGTCCGCGGGCGGGGGAAGGGCTCAGCACGCCTTGGGCCTGCCTGGAAAGCCCTGCTAAGAGGGTCAGGAGCTTTCCCCAGCGAGACCCAGACGGGCTCACCCACTTGCCTGGCCTCGGGTCGCGCGAGGGGCAAGGGGCAAGGAGGAGGGGCGCGCGGGTCGGGGGAGGGGGCTCCCGAGCAGCGTGGGAGGCAGAGTCGTGCGGGGCGGGGCGGGGGAGACCCGGGAGCTCAGCAAGCTTGGGCCTGGGTCGGCCGGCCCCTTCCCACTGCATGCTGCTTCGCAGCCTCCGCGCCCAAAGCGGACCGAGCCGCGAAGCCGGGCCTAGGGGTCGCTGCGCGGTGCACTCGGAGCTCCGCCCAGTGATGCCCGTGGACCGGAGCGCGAAGCCAGCGAGGAGGGCACTGGGGCTCCCGCCTGTGGCCCGGCGCGTGTGCGTGGAGAAATAGTGCCCTGGGAACCGGGCCGGTTTTCAAGTTGGTTTTAAGGCTTGATGCAAAGTTTCCAGGGCCCTCAGAGGCCGCTTTCCGAAGAGAGTGCGCTGTGGTTCTCCGCCGGTCGGGCAGGATTGCTCTTTCCCTCCGACCCCAGGCTGGGGAGCGCCGGCCCCTGGGGCCTCTGCAAGAAAGGCTGGGATGAGGCGAGCACGGAGGCATCCTCATCCTCAGTGCAGTTTCGTGTTCCGGAAACAGTTCTCCACGGATTCTCAGGCTTTGTTTTCCAGATGCAGAAGAGGAAGCTGGGGGCCCCGGTCCCGGGACTTTTTGGGTAGGCAGCCGCAGAGCTGTGGCCCCGGCTGCCTGCCTTCACCCAGCCACGCCCAGGTTATGAGCCTGGATAGTGCTCGTCAGGACTCTGTGGCTTCCTGCAGCATGAGCTGGGATGTCATCCCGCTGGAGCGAGCAGGTAAAGGCATATCAGGTGGTCAGCGCTGTCCCCGGAGACCCTCGCAGGAGTGTGCTCTGCAGCCCCAGTGTGGGGCTTTCTGGTTGGCCACTAGGCCTGAACCTCTGGGTGCAGCCCTTCCAGTCGTGCTGGTTGCTGGGGTTGGCACGGGTGAACCTGGGAAGTGCCCGGAAGGCACGCCCAGGGCCCGGGATCCAAGGCACAGGACACCCCAGGCCGGTCACCGAGCCTGCGAACACGTGGACGGGATGGGGTGGCGCTGCCCTGCTCGCTGGCGACAGGCAGGTCGGGTCTCCAGAGCAGTCTGCGTCCCCCTGACCGGCTGCCGAGGCTCAGCCTGGAGGACCACAAAGTCGCTGTCCCCGTGTGTCGGAGGAAGCGAATTACATGCGTGTGCACACACGTAAATATTTTATAAATCTCTCCTTAATTAACCAGATCATCCCCATTATGCCTCCGACAGGATCAACGGCGACGGCGCGAGTGTTTTCAGGGTTTATAATTTGATGTCACCAGACGGTTGCTCGGGGGCAGGGGCGCAATCGCCGCGCCAGCTGCGCTTGTATTTATTTGTTTTCTGCGGTGTTCCTGTAGGGCTCCATTATGCAGTTTTTAATTAGTTTGTGTTTGTATTTCACCCGTCCCAAATCAATGCCATCCCGGAGCAAGGCGGTGTAAATTCTTGCAGTACAGGTGTCGCCGCCTGCTCGGTACACCAGCAAACGCGTGTCTGACAAATGAAAGCCGGGCTGCCACGCAGCGACTGTGAGCTCCCCGCAGCCGCAGTGGCAGATCAAAGCGCCGGCCGGAGAGTGAGTGCAGGAAGGCAGCTGCTCTGTGCATCAGAGGGGCGCTGGGCAGAGCCCAGGAGCTCCCGCTCGTGTCCCCTGAAGTCCTGGGGTCCCGTGGCTAGTGTGCTCGGTGGCAGCCTTGCCCTTGAGGCCTAAGGACACCGGCCATGGGAAGCCGTGACCCACAGCCCGACCCCAGGGTGACGTCCTTCCCCGTCCCACTAACTAACCAGCGCAGCACCAACTTACTCTGACAGGCAGGGGACCACAGCTCCTCCCCCGGGTTGCCGGCTTTTCTTTCTTGAAAGGACCTCTGTGGAGAGCATTTAAATCTGGTCTTACTGCCACAGGGGGATTCTTATAAAGCTTTCTTTTTTTTTCTTTTTGGTCAGGAATAAGAGATTGTTCATCTTTAACTAGGCCAATAGAAATTATGATTCAACAGCAGTGTATATTTAATTAGAGTAATCTCACTTGAATTTAATTACCTAATGAATTATTTGTTTAAAAGGTACAACGCCTTGTTTGCCAAGCGCCAGTGAGACCTCTGATAAGAACTTCTGTTCTCGGGGCACTGCAGCTGAGAGCGGGCGTGCTGAAGTTAGACTGGAGCCCCCCCTGGACGGTGGCTTTGCTGGCCAAACAGAAACTGTGTCTCAGGAGGTGAGGGCGAGCTGGGCGGCAGCACGTCCACTCCCTTCCGCCCCGCAGAGGTCCTCCCCCGCCCTGCTGCACATCTGCAACCTCTGCCTGCCTGCCTTATCACTCCACTCTGGAAAGCTATTTCATGCTGTTTTCGGTGGTATTTTCCCCCCTCTTCTTGCAGGAAGGGATGGCTGTCTGCTGGAGGAGTCTCCTTGGATTAGAACCACCAAGAGGGGATGCACCCACCATGGACTTCCAGTGCCCCACAGAGCTCCTGGGTGCTCTTCAAGTCTGGCCGAGTCCTGGGGTCCCGGAAGTCCTCACTGGTGACAGGAAGTCTTTCCAAGAAATATCAAACCTTAGTAGGAGTAGAAGCTGCTACAGCCCAACCTGGACCTCAACCTTCGGCTCTAAACAGGAGCCAAGTCCTTTCTTCTCATTTCCAGAAGCAAGTGTGGCCATGCTGGTCTCTGTGGGAGTCTCAGAGTTACCTGGCCTCCAGGTCACCCCGAAAGTTGGGCCCCTAATGCCAGGGTCCCGGTGGAGTGTGGGAACCTGGTGTGACTAACACCGGTCAGGCGCAGGAAGCCATGTCCATTCCTTCTCCACCTCTTTGGTGGGAGGAGGGAGACCTTCCACAGGGAAGGCATGGAGGGTCCTGCGGCCAGCCTTCCACCTTCTCATCAGAAGGAAAGAAGGAGAGGGGAGCACCTCACGTCACCCTGGCTGGATTTCGCTGTCATTTTTATTAATATTTAATTACCCAAATAATTCACTTTAATTGCAGGTTGGGGCACTATTGTAGCATAAATAATATAGCATTCAACCAAGGAGGAATGGGCTTATAAGAAAAATGCAACACTTTATGGGAATTTTTAACTTTTTATTTCATTTTAGAATCCCTGATTTTTATCATAGCTGTGCATTTGAAATTGATGATCTAACAAGCTATAGAGGTGAAATTATAATATAAACATAATCATATACGATGATGGCTACGTATCTTTCTTCCAAAGAACCAGAGCTCCACCAACACATTTTTAAGCTTATTTGTGAATTTATGTCACATATTCTGCCAAACAACAGCTGACGGTAATGACCAGAGAGGACGCATGAGACAACAGCTGAGAAGTGATAGTACATTTCTCAGATCTGAGCAAATCCAAAGGCGATTTCCTAGTAAGACCCTCAAAGGGAAGGAGAAAGGGAAAATGCTGACTGGCATATTCTTGCTTGACTCTTCCCAAAATGTTTGCAACCCAGACCAGATGGGGTTCCATCTCCCACGTCCTCCTATCACCCTCAACCCTTTCTATTACTGACGATAAAAGCCTACCTGCTAGAGATCCCTTTGAAAAATCTGTCATCAAGTATGGGCCCACAGAGCATACCCCCAGCAGACAGTTGTGTGCATTCCAGTTTTCTGAAAGATATATGTGCCAGACCTCACCGGCCGATCAGTTGCAATCTGCTCACCAGACTTTCGGGGACATCAGTTCAACAAAAGTGTCTGACAAACTAGTGTCCCAACAGCGGGTATTGTGAAAGTGGAGGGAAAGTCTCTGGGAAGTTCTGAAGACACTGAAGGCACCCAGGATTTCCCAAACACATTCTTGTAGAACAATTTGGGGTAAAAAAATGGATCTCAGGAAGAAACTTAAAATGTGCCTTGACCCAAGGGCCCTTGGCTCGCTCTGGCTGTGACCTTGCCTCTCACTTCGCTGTCCCCCAAGGTCACTGCACAGCTGCTTCAGATTACAGTTCCTGGCTGTCTTCCCACCGGCCCCATCTTCTCTGTAGCCCAGATGGAGCGCATGGGGCTGCCAGTCTCCCCGCCTGACACCAGCTCCAGAGCTCTGTGCGCAACTGTGTGACAGGCTGAAGGAGGGAAGCAGTGGGAAGAGGCAGGAATATTCCCCTCTGGCAGACACACTGCCAGGGGTAAGTCGGGCTGCAGAGCAGGACCTACCTGTGTGCAAACAGGAGGCCAAGCAAGGCAGCATCCACAGTGGCAGGGAAGCTCCCCTTCCAGGTGCTCCCTGTTCTGCCCGCTGCGTAGACGTGTCTCTCTGCCAGCTTCCACAGACCCAGGGCTCCCTCTAATGCAGCCCCCGCCTCTGGGCCTGGGTCCTCTCTCTTGCAAATAACTCAGTGACTGCCAGGTGGATCATAGCTTTACAATTTTTAGCTGTTCCCCTGCAGCACTGGAGATGGAATCAGGGCCTGTGCCCTGTGCTGCATCACTGGACCTTTCATTTTTTTATTTTGAGACAGGGTCTCACTAAGCTGCCCAGGAACCCTAGTAGTGACCAGGTGAGGTTTTCCAACCCTTCACGCTAGGGTGCTCTCGCCAGCTGCGGCTGCAGCAGAGCCATGTCTCCTGGGCCTTCAGGTCCTGCCCTCCGGTCAGTCCTTAGAGCTGTGTGCGCAGAGCTCTGCGCTGGTCTCTTACAGAACGAACTTCACTCTCACGGTCCTGAAGCCGTGTGGGTGGCGCTGGGCTGTTCTGCCTGTCTTTGGCTGGGGCAGCCACCTTCCCATTGCGTTCTCAGTACATGGACCTGTCCGGCTTCCCTGTTCCCAGGTCTCTCTCCACACACTCTGGGCCTGAGGACTCAAACCCAGAGTCTCCCACGAGCTGCACCATTGGCCTTTTTCTAAATTTTGAAACAGAGTCTCATTAAGTCATGAAGTGCCCAAGCTGGTTTGTAAACTGTGATCTTCCTGCCCCAGCCTCCTGGAGTGCTGGGATACCTGTCCATACCAGGCTCCAGAGCTTTTTTTTTAGGGATAGCAGTCAGACCGGATTAAGAGCCAGGTTAAAAGCTGCATTTTAACATACTCACCTCTTTGAAGACGGTGTCTCCCAGCACAGCCACACAGATGTACTGCAAGTTAGGCTTTCAACATAGGAATCTGGGGGAATGGGGTGCGTAGCTCGCCCAGGACACCCCCCGCCCACACCACCCCACTGTCCCAGCCCATCTCCAGTCCCACAGCACAGCTCACACTGCAGCCATCTGCCGCTTCAGGGCAGAGATCTGGACAGAAGTTCTGAGATGCCCTCTCCAGTGTTAAACACAAACAAAAAGGTACTGTTACTGGGACCCTGCTATTCTGCACATCAAACCACCATAACATTGGCTGTTACAGAAGGCTGAACTTACCAGTCTACGCGGCTCCAGGGGGCTCTGGAGTTCACAGGGATTATACACTCTCCACATGGAGAACAAGCACTCTGGAGGAAATGAATTTTTTTCCTGTGCTCAGGGATGTCTGTCTCCCCTGGCATCTCTAGGGTGCTGCTGCGCTGACCTGTGCCATGCCAGAGTCACAACAGTTGCCACTTCTGCTGTGGAAATCTCTAAGTCCCCTTTCCTTGGTGTTGCAGAGAAAGAAACCTGCAGTGCTTCCCTCACGGACTGGGTTCCCAGCTCCAGGCTTTTGGGTGTACTGTAGGCTTGGCTGAGAACGCCATAACAAACAGGCGATCTGAGCACCCTCCTGTCTCCCGTCAGAGCTGCGCCTCCCGCCAGCATGCGTGTTTCACTACAGCCGAGATAGAGGTGGCGAGGGATCAGTGATCGTCCTACAAGCTGAAGACTTGGTGACATTATCTAAGGTTGAGTTAAGTGGTTTGTCTAAGGTCGCTCGGCAAGTGTGTAATAAATCCAGGATTAGGACCTTGGCACCCTGCTCAGCAGTCTGCATGTCGGGCTGGGCAGACAGCCGGGTTGATTTCTTGTTGTAGCACTCTCCCCTCAAACCCTGGGGAGCCCGATCTCTGCTTCAGGCCGGTGCCTCCTGTGGTCACAGACAGGCACATGACCGTCACGGGTCCTGGAGGCCAGTTGGCCATCCCCCACCTCTTCCACTCTTCCCTTCTTCCCTTCCCTCACTGCCCTTCTTTCTCCTTCCCTCCTTCCTCCCTCCTTCCTCCCTCCCTCCTTCCCTCCTTCCCCTCCTTCCTTCCTCCTTCCTCCCTCCTTGTTGCCCTTCTTCCTTCTTTCCCCTTCATTCAGTTACTCTTTTAAGCTTTTGTGGAGAATCACTATGAGAAATAGAAATTATCTTGTGCTGCCAGAGAAACGAAGAAAAATCAGACGATTGTCTCAGTATCTAAGTGTGTACATGAGATAGTTGCTGGAATGCATAAAGACACCTCGTTACTCTACGAGGTGGGCATAAGCATCAGGACAGATGCAGTTACTGTTACACGGTGCCAGGTTCAGCTCGCCCACCCACTGCCCTGGTGGTGCTGGGTTCCGTTGCCCTCTCTGTGTGCCCAGAGTCAGCTGCCTTCCTGGATCACCTCTGCCTTCATCAGGCCCCAGGCTGGGCCAAGTTCTAGTCTGACCCTGGACCCTCACTGAGAAGGACCGCCCTTGCCCAGGGACAGCGGGAGTGGGCAGACCCGGCCCCGGCCTGGCTTCCCACCCCTGTTGCTGTTCTGCAGTCCTCCGTGGGTAGAAGACGCAGACAGCTGGCTGTGCGGCTGGGAAACACAGAAGCCTGGGCAGGTGGGCTTACACCTGTGGGTCAGAGGAGGCACCCGCTAGGCAGGTGCGACTTGGACAGATCATGCTCATGCTCAGGACCTGGGGCTGTTATCCTCAGTGAATTTGGGAGCCAGAAGCCCCTGGCTGTTTGTGCAATGCCACATCTTCACCTCGCCTTCCTGGGTTGGGCTCTGACATTGGCACAGGAAGCAGGATCTTAAAGCATTAAGTTAACACTTTCTGATGTATAAGATGTGGGCAGAACCCGGCAACAATCCCGGCCCGTGTGTCCTCACATCAGAGCTTCCTCCGAAAGGCCAGCACTGATGGGAAAGCCTAGCAAGTCACCTTGCAGAGTGCACAGAGGCCAGCAAGTTACTTAGAACAGGTAGCTTTTTAAAACCTCATTTCAAAGGCAGCAGTGTTTTAAAAGTCTAATTCAAACTTTAAAATTCTTCCCAGAGTTTTGTGAGACATTGTCTAAGATACAAGTGGTTTTTGTTTTGCTTTGAGACAGGGTCTCACTATGTAGTACAGGCAGTTTTTTGTTTTTGTTTTTGTTTTTGTTTTTGTTTTGTCTTTTTTGAGACAAAGTCTTGCTATGCAGTTCAGGCTGGCCTTGAGCTCACTTTGCAGCCCACACTGGTCTCAAATTCAGAGTGATCCTCCTGCCTCAGCCTCCAGAGTGCTGGGATTACAGGTGTGTGCCACCATGCCCAGCTAAGATATAATATGAAGCATTTATGTAAACTCTGACTTTATTGCTTCATTTAATTTTCTCCAAGTTGCTAAGGTTCTGTGGACCATCAGAGAGATCCTCGTCACTACTGAGCAGGAGTGGGTGGGCCCGGGAGCACCCTGGGAGCTTGTGCCCTCTGTCTCTTCCTGCGTGTGTTCCATAATTTTGCTGTCTGCCCAATAAATGAGCACACCCTGTTGTTTTTTTTTTTTGGTTTTTCTCCGGTACCAGGAACTGAACTCATGACCTTGCACTTGCCAGGCAGGCGCTTTGCCGCTGAGCTAAATCCCCAGCCCCCACACCCTATTGTTTTCCCAAATCTTCTGCTCCTGCAGGTGGGCCAGAGGGCCGCTCTCTCCCAGTTCTTTCCTTACCTGCCCCGACTCTGCAGTGTGCAACCCTCTCTCCTCTGCCCCTACTGCGCTCACTGCCAGCAACGTCTCCTCTTCGCATTTCAGCTGAGACGCTGAGACTCTGGACTGAAGCCGCATGCTGATGGGTCTTTCCTTCAGCCCCTATTCGATGCTGTTGGAATCACAAGTGATCAAATAATGAGGGTGCAGCTGCCGGGCTTTAATGTAGCTTAACTGAAACTGCCCTCAGTAAAGACACTAGAGGAGAGAAAAGACCTCCTAGAACTGTATCAGTTGCTCTTGCACATGACGGAGTTCTCTGATTTTTCTCAGTTGGATTCTGGGTTCCTAGTGACTTTGCATGGGGACTCGGGAATCCGTTGCAGGTCCCGACGTCCT